AAATTGTTACACAGCATCAAAAAAAGTGTACAGGAACACAGGATCTAGGAGAGCGCATGTCTAGATCTTTGAAGATGTCAGAATATACAGACAGTGGTTAGCGAAGCATTCAAGATTTTGGGCTTCAAAACCAGAAGCACTAAGTTCAAAAGCACAGAGATTTTGCTGAAACATTATGAAGTTCTAGTTAAGCCACAATTAGAGTATTGTACTCAGTCCTGGGTCCCATAAGGATTGCGGGCCCCGAGAGTGTGTGGAAGAGATTCAAACGAATGGTTCCAGGGAAGAGACAATTTACCTACAACATTAGGTTGGAGAATTTGGGTTTTTCCTCTTTGAAGGAAATGAGATTGAGAGGAGTTTTGATAAACGTACAGGTTTAGATAAGAGACAAGGAAATCCATTCCATTAGCTATTGGTGGAAGGACTATAGGATACAGCAGTTTATTTTTTAAAAATACACATTAAAAGGTAATGGCATGAAGTTTGCTTCCCATAAGGGTGGTGGAAGCAGAGAAGAAGTGAACCTGAAGAAACATGGGGATAAAGTTCAGGAACAGAACTGACCAGATTGCTCCAAGGAAAGCCAGCATAATCTCAGTGGGTTGAATGGCTTCCTGATTGCATTTACATAGCATATTTCAAAAGAGAAAAACTTACCAAGTACAGCTACAACCAAAATATCAACTATATTCAATGAAGTGATGACCTTTCTCACCTTAGAAAAAGGACAGTTGTTTAATTGAAATTGAGTCACAGACTCAGATGTACAGCATAGAAACAGACCCTTCGGTCCAACTCAACCACAATGACCAGAAATCCTAGGTTCATCTAGTCCCATTTGTCAGCATTTGGCCCATATCCCTCTCAACGCTGTTTATTCATATACCCATACAGATGTCTTTTAAAATGTACCAGCCTCCACCAATTCCTCTGGCAGCTCATTCCATGCACGCACCATGCTCTGCGTGAAAACGTTGCCCTTTAGGTCCCTTTTAAATCTTTCCCCACTCACCTTAAACCTATGCCCTCTAGTTTTGGACTCCCTGCCCTGGGAAAATACCTTGGCTATTCACCCTATCCATGCCGCTCGTGATTTTATAAGCTTCCATAAAAGGTCATTTCTCAGTCTCTGACACTAAAGGCAAATAGCCCCAAATCTATTCAACCTCTCTCTATAGCTCAAACCCTCCAACCCTGGCAACCTCCTTGTAAGTCTTTTCTGAACCCTTTCAAGTTTAACAACATATTTCCTATAGCAGAGACACCAGAACTGAATGTAGTATTCCAACAGCGGTCTAATCAATGTCCTGAACAGCCACAACAATGATGTCTCGACTTCTATACTCAATGCACTGACCAATAAAGGCAAGCATACCAAACACCTTCTTCACTACCCTGTCTACCTGAAACTCCACCTTCAAGGAACTATGAACCTGCATCCCAAGGTATCTTTGCTTCGCAACACTCCCCAGGACCCTACCCATTAACTGTATAAGTCCTGCCCTAATTTGGCTTGTGAAAACGTAACACTTCACATTTATCTAAATTAAATTCCATCGACCATCCTCAGTTCATCGGCCCATCTGATCAATGTCCCATTGTACCCTAAGTTAATTTTCTTTACCTGTCCATTACACCACCAATTTTGGTGTCATCTGCAAACTTACTAACCATTCCTCCCATATTCTCATCCAAAATTTTTAAATAAACGACAAAAGGTAGCGAACCCAGGGCCGATCCTGGTCACAGGCCTCCAGTCTGAAAACAACCCTCCACGCCACCCTCTATCTCCTATCATCAAGCCAATTTTGTATCCAAATCGCTAGGTCTCCCTAGATTCCATGTGATCTAACCTTGCTAGCCAGTCCACCATGCAGAACCGTGTCGATATGGACTTCAGCAAGGCATTTGACAACGTCCACAGCTCTACCTTAAATCTGTGTCACTTCTTCAGTAGCATCAATCAAGTTAGTGAGACACGATTTCCCACGCACAAAGCCATGTTGACTATTTGTCCTTGCCTTTCCAAATACATGTAAATCCTGTCCCTCAGAATCCCCTCCAACAACTTACCCAAAGATGTTCAATCTTTTCATGATCTTTGGAAGTATATAATTTAGCTCCAGTATTTTGGATATTTAATCTTGTATCTAAGCAAATAGACAACACAAACTTAATCTAGGTTTAGCCTTGAGTTATTGCAAAACTGATAACATTTCTTGCTCAACACTGGTGCCAGACTCCACAATCACACAGATAACACTGTAGCCTTTGATCTTTCATTGCTTGTCAGGTAATTTGCCTGATTCTCCAAAACCTTTCCTTGGACCCTACAAAAAAAAGAGTTCACAACTTAGCTCATTAACTGTAAACTTAAATTCAATACTGTCTCCATAATGAAGATCACCCTCTTCCATCCTCACTTGTGCAGTAATCTGCTAGCTAAAAATCATCCCTGATTTTGCTACCATAAATCAGATTGGCCATTTGTCATCAACAAATGCCAGCCCTTACAAAAGGTGACTGCCTGATTCCTAAGCCGCATAAAGGTCTCCTGTCGACCAATGCACTGATTTTAAGAATTGCATCTGTGTTCTCAAATCCCCTTTTAGCTGAGTAAATTACACAACCCCTACAACTCTAACTTCTTTAGATTTTTCATTATCACTTCCTTCATGCCACCATGAGCAGCTGCATCTTCAGCCATTAACACGCCAACACAAATTCTCTCAATTTTTCTGCTCCTTTGACTCATCTTACAAACTGCTTCTATAATCAAGCTTTTAATCATGCATCCTAACATTGTCTCCTTTGTTGCTGTGCACTTTTGTCTGATTATGATACTGCGGAGCTCCTAAAAGTTGTTCAATTTTCCTGCAAATATTACTAAATATTGTGCTGTTAGTACAGCACATGTCTGAAAGACTAAAACTAACAGTACATACTATCACAGAAAATACTACACTTCCTGGTGCCAGCATTTTAAACTATGTCAGAAGGTCACGGATTCAAGCCCCACTCCAGCCATTTGAACACATAATCAGTGCTAACTTTCAGAACTGTTATTAAATGCAAGATTCTACTAGCCTATTGAAGAAATATAAATTCACTTTTCTTTAAAGAGCAAGTGAGTTTTCCTGCTATCCTGGACAACCCATAATTCAGTTAATTGCATAAATAACAGATTAATAATTTCTAAATTCTGAAGTGTTATACTGAACTCAGCAGTAACTATTTTTCTCTGCACAGATGCTGCCAGACTTGCTGTGTTTCTCCAGCATTTTATTTGTTTCCAATTTCCAGCATCCACAAAGTTTTGCTTTTATTAGTCATTTATCACATTAACAAGAATGATATCTGGGTTAAAGTAAAGTAGTTAAATTATGCTCACAACTCTGTCTGTATTTCCTTAAATTTGGGGAATTTAGGGATGGTCAGAAATATTTAAGATGACAACGTTTTAATGGGGAGGGAGATAAACTGCCTATGCTCAGAATCCAGAACAGGGAAGTATAACGTTAAAATGTACATTTAGGAATGATTTCAGGAAGAGCGGAGCTGAAATGGAACCTCCTTTAAAAAAAATGTTGAGTTTGGTCAATTAATAACTTTAAATCTTAGCTGAAAGTGGTAGTGACATGAAACCAAGTTAGGCAAGTAAATACAA